CGGTGCAAAGGGTTAAACAAGGTAAATATCATTCAGAGTTTCACACACTTGCTCCAACAGCTTAGTGATGAGCACACAACAATGCACATTGACTTTCAAAAATATATACGCAACTGTCGCTATACCTTCGGAACATGACAACACCTATTCAATGAATCACTCAAATAGGCCACGAATTTCCTTTTTGCTTGTGTTTGCCATGGAAATTCTCTTTGCTTCAAGGTTACTTAAAACTCTTGGGAGAGCAAAAGCCAGTCTCAGGTCGCCATAAGTGGTTCTGGAGCGCGATGCGGCCCAGTTTCGAGAATTACGAGTGCTGTATGTTGCGTCTTGCCACTCCAAACCTGAGACTGTATTAAAGACGCTCTCAGGGTTGTTTAATGACCCTTTATATGACATCAAAAGCATAAAACTATAGTAATTCGCGATTTTTAATGTGTCAAACTTTTTAAACAAAGATTTCGTAGATTGATTATACGCTACATTACATATGTAAAGTTTCGATACGAAACTCAGTTAACGGGGTTCCTCCCTTGGTGGAGAGCAAGCAGGAGACAGGCAAATACTTTTAACATTTTAATGCTACTGGCTGGAATGGTCGCCGTCGGCGGGTCACTTACTGATGGGCTGTTCAACAGGTCGACGGGCTGCGTCGTTCTCGGGCGGCTCGTTGGCTCCTTGTGGTCCGCAGGCCGGTAGCTCGGGGGTGGCTCGAGAGGACTTCTTCGTCGGTCATAAACAGCTCAAGGGCTGGCAGCTCTTGGGCAGGTTACGGGCTGGCGGCGGCTGTCGGGCAGCTCGCTGGTGGCGTTCTTGGGCAACGGCCATCCAAGGCAGGCATCCTTTTTGGGTAGCTCCTCCGTTCGTCGTCGGGACAATCTGGCCCTGCTCCCACGTTAAGGTGCTCTAGAAGGGGTGGTGTGTAAAGCGGAGGGCGAAGCGCGGTGCCGGTTTTCGTTGATGCCGCAGGATGGCGCCGCGATCAGGGGCGCCGTCAGCGCACCGTAGACGGACCAGGGAAACACTACGAAAGAAGACGCTGCGGCTGTTGTTGCTTATTTGTTTTGCAGCCTTTGGTAACTACGATCGGCCTAGCATCTCGCAGCTCGAAAAGTAAGGTAATGTTTGTCGTTTACACCATACTGATGGTTCTTTTTAGCCTATATATAAAGCGGTTTTCGGTGCGTTCGCGCGAGCCTGCTGATATGTGCTTGAGCCCATGCTGGTAATTACCGGATTGGGTGGAGAACGAAGAAACCGGAATAAATGGTACGTTCAATTATCAACGCCTATATACACGTTTGCAAGTCCGGCTTCAGGGCGCTGCCATCTTGCCTGTCTGGGGTGCGCTTGGACCAGTCATAATCCGATTACGAAGCCTTGCTAAGGCGTCGTGATCGGATTATGGCCGCTCCCGAGAGCGCACCCCACTGAGGAAGATGGCGGCGCCCTGAGACCGGACTTGCAAACGTGTATACTTTGTCTCACCTTATCATGGACGATGTTTGGTATTTATTTGGGAACAGCGTACGTAGCTACGGCTGGCCCGTCAGAACGTCGCTCGAGTACACTTTTGCGGTCGGAAGACTGGGTGGGCGAGTATTCCCACTTTTCCACTCAAACTAGGTATTAATCTGTTAATTAGGCAACAAACCGGAGCCTACAGCGGCGTATGTCCAACTTTCCAAGGAGGCCAAGCCTCCACACTTCAGCCAGCTCACTATTGAACTCCAACTGTGCAGTAAAAGGGGAAACTACATTTTGACTTCCCAGTCCCGTTGAAGACTAGTGCCCGTGAGAAAAGATTAATAGAAGCTGTAGAATCCAAGACAACTTGACATTATAGATTTATTTTAAGCTCCATAGTGCCAATAGTGGCACTTGCCTAACCAGTTTGGGGACCGCAAGCTCCGTTTATAGAAGGAAAATGCACAGAGAATAGTGCACCGTTATAATAGTAATATTATTATCATCATGATAGTGCGACTGTGTCTCTAGTGCCAGAAAAAAGCTTCATCAAAATTCCAACACTGACAACTTTTATTCACAAAACACGCCCAAGGTGTGCTCTTTCACAGAGCTACAGTGCAAGCACTTAGAGGACACATGGTTTTTTCCTCTTGCATTTCTTTTCATTCTCAGTTTGGTTCTTTCCTTTCAGGAAAAAATGCACTCTCGTCATTGCATAAAACTTGACAACTGTCTGTGTCAAGTCGAGCGAATGCTCGCTGCAGCCTATGCTCGGAACCCGCCCGATGCCATGTACAATCTCTTTAACCACTTTTGCATGGAGCTTCACTTTGCTGAATGCACTTGTCAGCCTGTCTTCCAGTGTCTGAATGAGTCTGTACAGGGGTTCGGACGGGTACAGGAGCCCCCCAAGATCCCACTCTATGCAGGTTTCTGCTGGCAGGTTGGAGGGCACGTCCTCCTTACTCACGAGACATAGCGACTTGCATAGCTCGCAAGAGCTTGGCAGAATTCGTTTCCTTGCTACATATCCTGCGACATAGTACACAAGGCGAGCATCGCTGTGTTGTGTGACGTATGCTAAATGGTCAACGACGACTTCGGCCGAGGCTGATGGCTCCTCCAAGTGGCAAGCTTCTTCGTCGTCATCCTGTAGAGCCTCCTCCATGGAAAGCAAGGACTCGAGCATGTCAGGTGCAACATTCCCTCCCACAGGACTCCTGGCCAAGCCATAGAACGCCAGACACCTGCAGTGTACACAAAAATTGGATAGGAACATCAATGGTTTGTTCTTTCTAACAGATTACATACATGGGAAATTTAAAAAATGGTGGTTCTGTACCTCATAATCACAATAAACTGGGCTGGCGTCGGGTGATCATTTGCTCCACACGACTGCCTCACGATGCCAAAGCACGTCTCCAGGCAGTCCTGGCTAAGGCGGCAGGTCATCAGGAAGGAAAACCCAACTTTTTCGGTCAGGTACCTGAAAATATTGCATCATTTCATTCATGCAACACCGGACATGTCAGACATTTTACAAGTGTTGGCTACTGATCAATCTTGCATTGTTCCCACTTATCACAGGTGCGGCATGTACATAATGCCACAGAATTTACCAATAAGAAACTTGGAGGTGCATTACAATTCCACTAAAGATGACTATGGGACTAAAACAGTTCTCAAAACAAGGACTACATCAAGCAGGCACGTAGCCAGGGGGAAGGGCCCCCCCCCCCCCCCCCCCCGAAATCTTCCGTTTTGCTGGGACCTCCTCTCCCCCCCCTCCCCCTCATACAGCATTTTGTATGAGGGGGAGGGGGGGATTTTGTCTCCCCCCCGAGACAAAATCCTGGCTACGAGCCTGACATCAAGAGCGAGTTAATATATGACATAGCTTTGTAATTACTTAAGGAGGTCTTTCGTGGCGTGCAGGCTCACACGGAGACCTTCTGCCGTGCTCGTGCTGAGAAAACCCAGTCTTCCGGCGTGCACTTCCCATGCGCCAAGAAACTGCAGCACTCTGTCCAGCACCGCCGCCTTTTCGCTGCCAAGTCTGGAAGAACGGGGGAAAGTTACATTCAATTGCATACGCACAAGATAAAAATCGAACTTAAAGACAACCGCACCTGAGTGCTTGAGCTGGGAACCTTGATGTCATGACCTCAATGAGGTCGGCCATCAGAGCGATGAAAACCTTGGTCGGCCTAAGGTTAGGGTATTGGGCTTCTATCTTATCTTCATAGAAGGACATGGCTCGCACAACAAGCGGACTAAAAACCTGGAAAGCCAAGTCAACTCTCATCTTCTGAAAGCCGTCAGGAAAGATGTGAGCTCGAGTCAATTTATGAGCCACTTTGAAGGTGACACTGTTGTTGTCACACTTCCATGTCGATGAAACGTGTTCCCAGTGAGCCTGCGAAGCCAAGAATTGTGCAAGAATCCAGACAATTGCCATTATATCAAATCACATCTTAAGGCACAATTAAGAGCAGCAGCAAATATTAAAAGAAAACAGTTGCATGCGTTACATACCCGTCCTTCATGCGTGTTGAACCCATGTTTCATCATTAAGTTACGGACACACTTCATGAGGTGGGGGAAATCAGACATAAAGTACAAAAATCTTTGCTCGTCATACGGGTGAAGAACTTTGCATTCCACGGACTTCAATGACCCATGAACGCCAAGGTCGTGCCACATGGCACGGTTCCAGGATGCTCCATCTGAGCAGATGTAATCCACATACAGTCCAACTTGTTCACAAAGCAGTGTTGCTTCAACCACAATCTTTGTCAGAAGCTTTGACTTAACATTGCTGGCAGAAGCAAAGACACCTACAAAGCAAGAAAAATATATGCACCCAAACTGTGAAACTCAACAAAAATTGCATTTAGTGAAAATGCTAGTGCTACTAGCATGAACTTACCAATTATTTGAGTCCATTTGCCAATAAATGGTTGAAACATCACCACAAGACCATGGTCCGCCCTAACATGCTTGTCCACTTCCTGAGAAAACTGTCCGAGGTCGACAAAGCCTTCAATACGTGTAGAGGCAGTCATGTCCAGGTGTGACGAAAGTTTAATTTCATCTATGACAAGGCCTCCATGTCGCTTCATGTCATCCATTCCTTGCAGCTTGATCTTCACTGAATTCAACAGCTGTTGGCTGAAGCCATACGATGCCTTGAATTTCTGTGAACAAGTAATATTGGATAAGGACTTTCGCCTGGTGTAAATAATTCCCATACACAAACCTTGATGTACTTGAAGAGGCAGACACGGCTTGGGAGCACCAGGATCTTATGACGCCTTAAATGCTCGTAGAGACGGGCACTTTTCATTCGTAGGATGATGCATTCCAAGAGCCACTGTTTGCTGTAGCGGTACCCACGCAGGGATCTACGCTGCGATGCTTCAAAGCAGGCCCGCACTGCGAACTGCTCTTTCTGTGGAAGCTTTTTGATCTAAAAAAAAAAAAAAGAACAAGGAGATTTACAACTGCTAGTCAATTTAGGCTGACAACCTTTATACACAAACCAATCCTGTTTGTGGAAATTGTAAGGAAAGCATGCAATAAACTTTCCGCAATCTAACCTGTGCCTCAAGAGCCCCTTCAGTGATGGAGACATTCTTTTCCTGAAGTAGTTTGAGACGGTCAAGTAATGAAAGAACTTTCTTGTTCCTCCGTCTTAGCCTTCGCACAGCCTGTCTGAGTCTTTGTTTCAAAACGCTGACTGGATGTGCGGGCTGCTTTTTCATACGCCGCAAGCGTGTCATTAGAAGGTTCCTGCTGTATTTGCATGACAAACAACGTGATCCACCTGTGCCTGGAGGAGAACATAGAACATAACAGTAGAGGTATGTGGTATTTAGATGTATTCCGCTCCAAGTAAAAACGAGTAACAAATTGATGGTTTGTGCATTCACAAACTAAGATAGCATACCTGTGGGTGCTGATCCGTCACAGTGTTTCGAGAACAACTGCTGTCGTGATGCGATGCCTTTGAACTTCTGGTCCAATAGCTGGAACTCGGTGGTTCCCCCAATGCCAACACACAGCGAAGTGTCTTCTGTGTAGTTAAGCGCTTCCTGAGCTTCTTCTGATTCAACATTCTTTACCTTGTGAAGCAGCCCAGAGAAGAAAATGCTGCACCTCACAGATGGCCTTGTTGACTCGTGCTCGAAGACAACAACCTTGCTTAACTCGACAGGCGGTGTTTTCGTTTTGTCAAACACGGTAGTTTGGTATGACACCACGCTGCCACTTTCAAGTGTCTGCTTGTACCAGTGATGAGATGGGCAGCGCAAATGATGAGCAAAATCTCCCCTTGCAGGCACTGCAAGTGTTTCACGGTGAGGACATTGATGGGTCTTAGCTGGTACTTCAGAACCGTTGAGTTCTTCATGATGGTGTTCTTGAGTCCCATCCAGTTCTCCAGATCCACTAGGGGAGACTTCATTTTGTGAACTGCAGTTTGCCTTTGCTGGCACAGCGTGGAGTGATGTAGTGATCCGCCTTTTCCTTGCTTTCGGGAGAGTCTTGCTGATGTACTTCGGAAGGTTAGGGAAAACAGTCGGAAATGCATCTTCCGTCAGGGTAGGGATGTCATGTGGTATCAATACCTCTTGGCCGTTTACTTGGTGCTTAAAGGCACGCACAACGAATCTGAAAAAAAAAAAAAAAAGCCACACTTCTAGTTATTGAACAATTGCAAAAGTGCTGCAAAACATTCACGGCTGAGCTCTGTCATAGAAAGGAAACTACAACGCATGCAAAATCATTCGAAAGTAGCATGCCACAACTTCCTAAGTAATATGAATGTCTTATTATTTTTTTTTCTGGGCATGAGCGAAATGGGCCGAAAGCGAGTGGAAAGTTTGAAAAATTATTTGGTGCGCATCCCTATGCCGATATTCGGAATGCCCCTTAATATGCAGAAAAATAAAAGCAAAAGTGAGTAAATTTTTCCTAAGCTCCATGAAGTTGAAACCGACCTGCAAAGTTACGTAAAATAACCGCGCGTGTAACTTACAGCGCAGTAGAGTACAGCCCACGAAATACTCGACATCGTGCTCGAGCTAAAAATCGAGGCTGCCTTGCTAGAAACGTTTCAGCTGAAGCTGTAGGAATGAAAGCACCACTCCCACTCGTGAGTTTTGGTAGTTCTTTCTTTCAGCCAGCAGTTTCTGGCAAACCGGCTCAAATTACCGTCTCAGTGCAAGCGGCATCATAAGCACCATTACTTGGAGAGCTCAAAATCGCGTCGGGTATGCTACCTACTGCACCACTCCGCCGTTTAATCACGGTCTTCCTTCCCAGCATCTCTGACCCTCAACTCGGGAAGAAGTAAGTACACCCACCTCTCGTCAAAATGCTTTTCGCATACAGCGGAGTTTTCTTCGAGTGGCTTGTCCGCCCTGGGGATTGCACGGGCCCACTTCTCGAACATCTCACGATTGCTCGGCGCACGAAAAAGGGATACCTTATCTGCACACCCTTTGTAGCCTCCATCGCACCCTGGCACGAAACACCATCGTTGCGTTTTCTTTTTTGTTGTGGAGGGCATCCTCTCGCAAGAAAAAGCAATTCGTAAACAACACGTCGGAAGCCGAGCACGTACTACGCAGCCAACGGCTCTGACGGCGCCCCTAGTTTCAGCGCCAAATTTTCCCGTAGCGGAATCAACGCCCCGGGGGACCCCGCCGTCCAGCGGGGAAGCGGCGCGCTTTTCACACCACCCCTTCTAGAGTACCTTACCCACGTGCCACCCACTCGTCCTCCCTTTTTCCCTTCCCCTCGCCTGCCGCGGTCACGCTCCCTCTCGCCCTGTTTCGGCCGAGCTTCTTTCCACCGGCGACCCTGATGGCGTCACCACCGTTCCCCCAAGACGACATACTTCGCCACTTCAACAGGCCGAGATCCATTCTGAAGGTCAATCCCGCACCGCCAGCATTATAAAAAGTCTGAACGTTTGTTTTCATAGAAGTACCCCAAACCAAAATACAGCAATCGAAATATGAGCAGAAAAGGGGATGATATATAAGCAGCATTATCGAGGATGGTAAGATATTACGGTATTTATACAAAATGCCTACAACTTTTGAGAGCATTAAAGTTGTGTCCTGCACTATCTTATCCCACGGCATATGTTCATTAAAAGTTACGCCAAGCACCTTAGTTTTTTTTACAATTTCCACATCTCGTGAGGCAAGAGAGTGCTCTCCCGGCAGGTTGCTGGTGCAGCTTGCATTTTTTCTGTGGAAAATAATTGCTTTAGTTTTCGCAACATTTATTGTTAATGAATTTGCGGTGGTCCAAACTTTTCACCAAATAAGGCCGCAGAAACGTTCTACAGGACACTACAGACCCCACAGCTTTACTCATACAGCAATAGCGAAAGTTTTAGTAGACCGTTCCAATAACCCTGATACCCCTCCGGCACCTTTGCGCATGCATCGTGTGATTATCGGGCGGAAAACCAGTCTACTAAAAGAAACTTGCTAATCTCTCTAACAAATGGCCATATTAAAAAAAAAAAAAAAAGGATGCAATTGAGCAAGGCGCATGACTTCGCGTTTCTTCTGGGAGAAGTGAGGAGAAAAGTTGGCATCATTGTTTCCTTACATGTCAACACTAGATCGTTTCGGGCGTTACAATAACGAGACCCGATACTCCGACGGCTGCTTCGGCGTGTGCGTTATGGTATCGTCTTCGGAAAAAAAAACAATCTGGTAAACCTCTCTTATGGCCCATTCACACTGGAAGCGGATCTGCAACCCCGAAACGGATCCGCTCGTTTTCGCCAAAAAATGCGCGTGAATTTGCCCTGAATGTTTAAGCAGCTGCAGACATGAGCATCATAGTGCAACTCTTCCTTCAACTCCGTAAGTTTAGAGACAAAGACAATGGCGAGGCACCGAGTCTGAATCCTTCACTTCGTTGCACTCCTTCTCGTGGCGAAAAAAGCCGTGGGTCAGTCCAAAAATCAGAGTTGCCGACTCCCCCCGCCCTTTCCCCTGAAAAAGTATAATTAACAGGTTCCTTTTAATACGTTCTGTTATATTAGCGGTTATTAAACCGAGTACTCTAGCACCAGACCTTCAAGGTTAACCGTGCCCGGGCCCCGGCGCTTTGTCGGTTTGTTTTGTTAGCACTGCCAATGAACGCTGCCTCTAGCGAGATTCGAACTTTGAAATTGTATGTTTATTATTTTTGTGCTTTGAATTTAGCCGTTACTCATTCAATTGGCGTTACATTATCAGTTGTAACGTCAATGATGTGAGGAGCTCTTAATGTCACGGCTATAAATGATGTTGTAACACCTAAGTGGTCTAAGGCGACGTGGAAACACTGGAATGTCATGGCTACTTTCAGGTTCACTCTCTTGTCATGCCAAAATCCACCGTATGTCATGCCTAAATAGGCTGTAGTTTCATTAGCCGTTGCCAGACTAAGATTGTATGCCCGTGCTACCAAGCGGAAGGAGACCGGCGGCAGAACGGAAAAAGTGTTTCTGCTTGTCGTGCCTTGTGGTGATGAGGGTAAAAAAAATATTGCACCTTGACTCGAAGGAGACTGTGGGTATTTAATCGAAGTACATATCTTGCTGTTAGTGGGGTGGTTCCCTTCACACAAGGTGCACCTGGGCTCGCGCGTATGGCCCTCGGGTGGATATTCTTCAGTGCAGTTGGGACACACCTTGGTGCCTGGGGTGGGGCGGACGTCGGCTCTGTGTCCGGGGTTGAGGCACACTGTACAGGCTTGCATGTACGGTCGATACAGGTAGCACCTCATCCTCGTTGTTTGATAGATGACGTAGCTGGGAAGCTCGTTGCGATTGAAGGTACTAATGTTTGAATTCGACTTGCCTCGCATACGTGGGGAGATGATTTTTGTTCCGTCCTCCACGTAGATGCTCTCCTTGAGTATTGCTGGGTCGGTGTTTTCCTCCACTTCATGAATCGCCCCCTAATCGAGCCCTCGGGCATTGCAGGGTAGGCGGCTATGTTGTACTGTCTTCCGCCTTGAATGATTTGCTTCCTTTCGTGTATCTTCCGTGCCGGACCCTCCTCGGTCTGAATGGTAATGAGGTTCTGATCCAGATTGCGCTGAATCCTTATCTTTCGTTCCAAAATCTGCTCCGGAACGCCTATCATGGCTGCAATGCTGTTGACGAATTGATATCTGTAGGCTCGGGTGAGGTTTAGCCTATCTCTCGGCCTAATCATGGCCTTGTACCCGCCACGTGGTAGCTTCATTCTTGCTTGCTTCTGCTTCCACTTGTAAATCCAGCCATTAATTGGCTGCATCTTGAATGGTTGCTTGCGATCAGGTGTCTTCACTTCCCTTCCTTCAGGTACACAATGCAAAGTATTGAGACAAAAAAATTCTTTGGACAGTTTTTTTTGTTTTTGTTGTGTCATAATTACAGATCCAGAACAGCTTCAATTGCACAGCAAATTCATATTCTATAAAACTGAATTGCTAGCAACAAAGAACTGGCAAATATTCATATGAATTACCTAGTCTTTGCTCCTGCAACTGTGGCTGCCTGGGATGTTTTTCTCTGTCAAGGAGTCTCAGCTTCGAGTATTGGGCCAGGGTGGTTGAGCTGTCCATGTTTACATAATCTTCAAACCATTCATCGTACACCTGAGTTGAAAAATGTTGGCAATGAGATTATGCTTCGCAGCTGGTGCAATCTTAACACATACAGCTGCCATGAAGATGCATACAAATTGACACAAAATCCACATTTCTTGCTCACATAACCAATTAGGGGTCTCCATGTGATACTGGAGGCCATGCTGGCGAGGCTGGAAGAAAATGACTTAAACATGCATTTGTGCAATGAAATTATGTCCCCAATTGGGCTTCTCAAGCTCCATCATTGACAGAACCACTCGTCATTCTCAAAATTTACTATTGCAAAGAGTGACTTACATGTAAACGTATAGTGCAAAATTCACCAAGGGTGAGATGGCGATTCATGAAACTGTTTATAGTATACAAGGACAATTATGGCATACTTAGATCAAACATGACAGGTCAGCGTGCAAACAGCACAGCAAGGGGAAAATAAAATGTGAATCTTATAGCACTGTACAACATGTTTACCTGAAGTATTAGGCTCTCCCAATTTAAGTGGCCAAAGTGCATGGAAGTCTCCAAAGCCGCAACAACATCTTCGAACTTATGAGAGCAGTGAACAGCGATGGTCTTGCAAGACTGCCCATACCTTACAAGGCACGTTATGTCCATCAATCCACACTGAGCTGTTAAACAAATTTCAACACCTGTGTCATTTGTGAAGTATTACAAGTCGAGAAAAATAAAGATTTCTGCAGAAGCACATACTGTACAGTGCTAATCACACTTGTCTATAACGCGCGAGCGTGCGGTTTTCTTCGGGAAGCGCCAGACTGTAGGCATTCGCGGAAACTAAGCTAGTCACGTAGCGCAACATGGAACAGCCCGCTCGAGGGATGTCCTGCCCACTCTATCAGCTTGATAAGCGATAAAAGAAAAGTGCTTTATGATATATTTTTGTTTTTTGATGACGACATCGTTGATACGCCTTCATGCTTTAGTTTGTTTATTGTACGAGCAATGATGTTTGTAAAAAGCGTGCGAGCAGCCTTCCGCGTTCGCCGCCAGCTGATAGAGTGGGCAGGACACCCCTCGAGCGGGCCGTTCCATGTTGCGCCACGTGACTAGCTTAGTTTCCGCGAATGCCACCAGTCTAGCGCTCCCCGGAGAAAGCCGCACGCTCGTGCGTTATAGACAAGTGTGATTAGCACTGTACATAGTGCTTCGCGCACACTGAAAATGCTTCAGGAAATAATGAGCTGCAAATGAAGTGTTTTCTTTATAACAGTGTTGGCTGAGGCAGACTTCACAGCGTGTGTATGTGATATTTCGAAGGCAAATGCACTTGAGTGACTAATTTTATCTACATTTCTAGCCACCACATTTTAGCTGGAGATGTGTAGCTTATTGTCCAAAGTAAGCCATAGCAGCCAGAGGATATTTGAAAAATAAAATCTAACCTTGCACTATGGAGGTGCGACTTATCGCTCTTATTTAAAAATTAAATTTAAATGCGAGATTTTAAAGGTATCCGCTGCACGACTGTCTAAAACTGAAAAAAGGATGGACGCAAAATGCTTTCGACTGGCACTCCCAATGAAAAAATAAATAAAAATCTGTCACTGTCACAATTTTACATCTTGCATTTATCTTGCCATGTTCCTAGGGACAAAACTGCTAATAGAAAAAAAGAAAAGTAAGGCTAGGGTTCCTCGCATTGACTTATAATTAGGGTGTGTATTTTCCGGTTTTAACCGAAAAACACCGATAAATATCCGTCGGTGACGAAAATACAAAATCGGTTAAAACCGAAAAACACCGGTGGTTGGATATTTTCGCCCTGGTTAAAACCGAAAAACACCGGTCGTTGCACGTTTCCGACCTAGCGAAACCCTTTCCCCGTAGAGGTTCGTCAAATGTGTTATTTCGTGGATCCTGCATTCTTCCAGTGTCCATACATCGCTTGCACGTGGCGTC